TTAATTTAAGTTCTTTGTTCTTTAATAGAAACCCCGAGCAACATACGAGTTTGAAGTAAGCACATTGATAATTTTGTCTCAACTATTTAAGTCACTAGAAATGGATTGATGCTAAAATAAATATCAAATCATCTGATTTGTTTGTTATTTACAGCTCGGAATTCATGTTTCACTTTTAAACTCTTTACGAACCAAATGCGAGTATATAATTTCGCACAAATCATATATGGTTGGGTAACAAGCTGTTAATTTCAACAGAAATTAAGCAAGAAAAAACCTTTTTTCATATGATTTATTTTGACACAATTTGATTCTTTTCTATGCTCTCTCTCTTCATTCTAAATTACTGTTATTATCATGTTCGCTGATTATTTCTTCTCTATGCTGCCTTTTTTTCTTCTATTTAGTTTAGCATCACCCCAAAACGAATGGACAACAGAACCTTTATTTTTTTGGTGTACAATACAGTTTTGTTTTTTCATTAACTTTGAATTAACAATCTGTTGAGCTTAGGCAACTAAAGAAAAGCATTGAAAAATGATCTTACAAGATGGTCTATTATAGTCATCGACAAAAAAATTGAAACTAGCATTTTTTTCTGCAAACATGCAATCAGTCAAAGAATTTTATTTTGCCTTCTGTTGCTTCTTGACTGCACTCATAGAAAAAAAGTAACAAAATGTTTGTAACTTGTATGGAAAATGTTAACAAACAATTCGTTAAAATAGTGTTTACGAACTTATTTGTTAAATTTAACCAAATTATTTGTAAGGTTGAATTGTTAACTATAAAAATTGTTAATTTAACAAACTTTTTGTTAAAATTTTTTTTTACAGAAAAAAATAACAAATTTTCGGTTAATATTAACCAGAAAATTGTTAATTTGGTCACCCATCTTATTTTAAAATGTTTCCGTGGTTGCTTAACTTCTGAATTCCTGTTGATGATCCGCTAGTCCGCTGCTTGTAAACTTTTACTTATAAAATTTGATTCAGAACCAATATAAATAATTCTTTAAAAAATATATCCAAATTTTAAAATTAATTTATGAATAATAAAATAGAAATGTAGGACTTAAAAAAATGAACAAATTTAATTTTTAAATTACGATTTGGTTTGTAAATCATTATTTTCCAAAACAAATTACAAATAAAAACATTGTAACAAATGTTTTGTTAAAATTAACAAATTAATTTGTTAAACAAAATCAACAAAATTCAATTTAAAGCAGTTTTCTCATTAAAAATAACGCAATAAATTAATGGGAATCGTTTGAAATTAATCAAACAAGAGTTTTGAATACAAAAATTAAAATTTAATTAAATCAATTATTAACAAATAAATTTGTTGATTTAACAAACTCAATTGTAAAATTTTTAACAAATAGTTTGGTTGAAATTTTTTTTACCCATGTAAACTTAACCAATAATTTGTTAAACTAGTTTAACAAACATATAACAAATATTATGGTTACTTTTTTTCTATGAGTGTGCTATTAACTATTTTATCTCCTTCTTCTTCGTTGGATTTTTTGTATGTTTTGGCACACGAGAGATATAAGAGACTGAGTTCATCAACACCTTTATATTTATATTTATTTTAGTGAATTCAAAAGAACAGAAAATTCATTTATTCTTGACTATTATTTGTTTTAGATGATGATGATGATTATGACGGCTATTTGGGAAATTTCTAATAAGTTCTGTTACTTAATCCCTCTATCATAAAAAAGAACGATTTAAATATTACAATTTGTTCTTCTATTCTTGATGCTGATTTCTTTATGATAATGACTATGAAAATTTTCGCAAGAACTTTATTCTCTTCCATTTTGGCCGAAATTATTGCAGAATATTCATGAGAACATTTTGATTCTTGAAAATAATGTACAAAAAAGTAATTGTAAGCATTAAATGCTGATTTTTCTAACGTTCTGACTTCAGAACCTTCATATCTTCATTAAATAAAACTTCTTTCATTCTGTGAAAATTATTTTAATTTTACCCGAAAAAAAAAATCCGTTCTTTTCGCAAAGAATTTTTGAATCAGAATTTTCAGAAATATCACTTAAGTTATAATTCAGGAAATTTTAAAGCATTAAAAGAATAGCATTAAAATTTTGCAAAAAAATAACGGAAATGATAATGTCAAGCACTCTTGGAACATTAAAGGAACTTTTCATATTAATTAACATATCATAAACGGATATGAAATTACATGTATAAATGATTTTACATTGTGGGTAATATAAATCATTTGTACAATAATTTCATTTTTTATAGATTTGATATTTTATGATAGGAAAAAAATGGTAAATAATTAATTAAGTTGTAAAAGAGGAAGATGTAATAAAAATAAAGTCGCATCGGATGACTTTTAGATCGGAAGATCAAGTAATTAAATTTATCGTCTTCATTAATTTATGATAAATTTTCTGAATTGCTGATTTTAATCTATTAAAGAATTACTTAAAAATTTGTCGGTTGACTGGGCAAAAAAGTAGCAAAGAAATTCTCGGGGCTTGTGTTGAATACAAAAAGATCGTGTAGATGGGATGATGCTTGGAGATTTCTTATCGAATAAATTTTTATATTATTTGTAGGCGCTCAGCATGTAGATTTTATGAATGAAAAGTATCGTTAGCAAGGTTTATCTTTTCAAGAATCAATTGCAATAAATTTGTAGATTAAGGTCTTTGAAATATTTTTTGAAAAATCCAAACAAATTTCTAGAAAATTTAAATTGACTTTCATCACTTAATATTTCTCACTACAACGTTAAAAATCAATGAAAATCTTCTTACAATTAAGCATAATTTGAAAAAAAAACATACTAACTTATGCTGTATTTTTAAGCAATTTTTGAATTTTAATTTTTTTTAAGACTTACGATTTTTTTTTTCAACAAAATCTTCTTTTGAAAATTACATCGCTGGCAGATTCTACAACAATTTCTAGTAATTCTCGTTTATTCTCATCCAATTCGTATATTTTTAATTAAATTTTCTTAATTGCGATTATTTTCTTGCTTATCAGCTTACAGCACATGTGTTTATTCTCAAAAAAAAATTAACACCGTACATTTGTGAGCAAATGAGCATAATACGATTGAATTCTCGATCTTTAAGCTTCTCTTCTAGTCATAAATTAAAAATTAATTGAATATAAACTTCTTGGTTTTTTTTTCTTCTACCATTATTTCGCTTTTTTAATGCCTAAGAGTTCGAAAATATGTTGTCCAAGTGCTCTACTCTATATAAACGCTGACTGACGTAGTGAAAATGAAAGAAAGAAGAATAATTTCATAAAAAAACTTCAAATTGCTCTTTTGCCAATTTCATTATAATTCAACACGATCAATTCTAATTCCGTTAAAAAAATATGTATATCGATGGATATATGTGTATTGTCTTGAACTTTGTGCAATTTTAGAAAATTAAAAAAATTTCTCAGCAATTTTATTTTCTCATTTAATTTTTTTTTTACGATTGATTTATTCTCAATATTTCAAATATTGAACTCCACGTCTAGTCTGCACAATTAATTCTATTTTTGCTCAAAAAATAGATTTTTGTTCTTGGTGTTCGCTTGAGAATTCTTTTTTCAATAGATTTTTTAAAAAAACACTCATCAATCCATCTTCTGCCATTTTTTGAAATGTTCTTTAATTGTTTGAACATAAACGTAGTTTAAATGTTTAAACTTCGTAATTCTATGTGCAGTCAGACGAATCTTCTTCTATTCAATGATCTTTTAGTTGATTAATTTACGCTCACAATTGAAATATCCGCGTAGTATTTTTTATATTTATTTTTCGGTCACCCAAACAATTACACGCATTTTATTTTATTTTTCTTCTTTCTTTGCTCAACTAAAATTTTTTAAAACGTGAACAATTTTTTGATTCTTAAAAAATATTTTTTTCTTTTCGATTCTTCAAAAATATTTTGTTTGTTTGAGACTTATTTTAATGTATTTTGTTGTAACTCTTTTCTTCTTTTTCATGGAGTTTTGAAACATTTTTTTGTCTCTTTGAAGAGGCTAGAAATTGTGCTAGATGTCTAACAAATTTTTGTTTGTTTCTTTGAATAAAATTTTTTCTTCTTGAACTTGAATTTCTGCAGTAAAATTTTATTCGTGAATTAATAAAAGAAAAAAAAAGTTCGAATTTGTTTTATTTTTTCGTGATTTTTATTCATAAAATTTTAGCTTAACAATTTATTTGCACAAAAATTTGAAAGTTTTTGAACAAAATATATTATAGACACTTTTAAACACGAAATTTATTGTTTTGTTAAACTTGTCTCACATTTTGTTTCACGAAATTGGCCTGAAGTTGACTTGAAAAAATTAAATTTTTGATCTAATTTTATGCAAATTTTGATTGGAGTTTTTAACATTTCATAGAATTTACAAACTATGCATCAATCTTCAATTTTTAAATTGAGAAGAAACATTATAAGAAAATTTCATTGAGATCGTGTGAAAAAGAAGATGAATTATCATTTTTGAGAAGCTGTTACCCATAAATGTAGTTTTTCTTCTTAAAAATTTTTCTTTTCTCGCTTTGAATTCAAAAACATTTTAAAATCAAAAAAATAAAAATCCCATCTTGTCTTCAAACTATCAAGTTCATTAAAACTTAGAATAATCTTCATTATAAAATCCTTTGCATCCTTTTAAAATTTTATTTAATTATCTTCCATTGCCTTTTAACATTAAAATATTTTATGAACCCCCATGTAATTATTTCATGACTCTCACCACGTAATTCTATGATTATTTCCAGATAATTAGTTTTGTGAGTTTAAGAACGATCATAAGTTCACGTTTAAAAGATTTATAGACTTGAACTCTTTTGGCAAATAACAATTGGGAAATGTTCATTAGCTATATTCGCACATGAGAACATCTTTTTTCCTTCTTGCATTAATTTCAAAGTTTGGCACGTTAAATATAGAATACAATGTATTTTTTCACTATTTTAATTATGTTCATTACCTGTATATGGTTGATTCTTGAGAATTTTTTAATTACTGCTTCTCCCGTACGTTTAATTCTTTCCTTTATGATTTACTGACTTTGTTTTATTCTTTTATTAATTAATTTTTTGTTTCTATTATTTTCTATTTAACTTTTCAATTTTCACATCTGCACAAGCTTTTCTTGATAGACTTTTTCACTATTCTGTGTGTGTTTCGAAAAGATTCAATCAACTTTAAAATTCTTTAAAATTTTGTAATTTGCTTTATTCCATTTGACTATTTAATTTCCATTAAATTTGCACCATTTGTCGAATTTTATTTACTCAAGAAATTAAAATTTTGTAATCCAAAAAAGATTCTTAATTTTTTTTTTGTCGAAAATTAAACTTTTTCTGTGAAACTTCAAAATGATGAAAAATCCTTGAAATTTTTTGTATTACTTTTTAGAAATAAATTTCTTTACTTTTTAAAATTTTCAATGAACTTGACCGTCGGGAGGTCGCGAATTGACTAAAGAATATTCAATGCTTGTTACTTGTTTTATAACTTTCTTAGACTGATCTTCTTGTAGAAGAAAAAAAAACTGACGATATGTACGATTTCATTCAAGAGCACCAGCACTTTTCTCCAAGTACAATTTCTTCTTTTCTTTTTGCTTTTTTTCTACTCTACCATCGCTCGCGATCGTAAAACGCCGTGTTGAGCAAATGAGCAGCAGCCTTTAGTGCATTTTTTTATTTTTTTTTTCTTTCCACACTCTACTCTCTTTTCTTCATTTCACCTTATACACACAATTTTTTTCATTTTCTTCTTCAGCTTCTTACTGTATTGAGTGTTGAGTTGAGCTGCTCTTTTGAGAGAAAGATGCCTGTCGCTTCATATCATCACAAAATAGATTCTTTTCTATTTATTTTCTTTCATACTCACAAAAACAACTTCCATGTGAATTCTCGCATTATTGTTTCGCTGCTTCCTTATAGTATTTGCCATAATATTAATGTTATGATGATATGATAACAAGAGAAGAAGGCATGAGAAGAGAGATTGATGAAGATTGCTTAGAAAATAAGCTGCCTTTTGTGTTCTTAAGTGATTGCTGCTTCACATGACAAGGATTCTTATTCTGTAAATTAACGGTTAAGTAAAGATTTTTGATTTGACAAAAAAAGAGACTTTATTCTTTAATTGGAGTTCTTAGAACTTGTCGAGGTGTGATGACTGGGTGAGATCTTTTTTTTGTGAAATTTCTAGGAATTATTGCGTTTTGAATTTGATGCTGAAATGATTAACATTCATTACAGTTTAAAGTTTTGCGATAATTAGATTAAATTAAGATATCCAAGGGACCATTCACTTCTTACATTTCTTTCTCAGGGAGGGAGTCTAGGAGTTTTATAAATTAATTAGTAACTGAACAAGCCTTAATAAACTCAAAATCCCACAAAAAGTAACCATACCCTGCCAAATCCACAGAATCTTCAAACAATTTTTGTAGCAAGTATGAAGGTATCACATCCGTCAATCTTAATTCAAGATGATATATTATTTAGGCTTTTATTGTTATTTCATAAACGTTTTCGCAGTCGACGTCTAATTTGGAAAATCAATTAAGCGGAATTAAGAACATGAACATAAATTCTTTCCTCGTTAATGGACAAAAACTGTTAAGTTGTGAGAAAAAAAAGTGAATATTTTAGATAAGAAATGAAAGAGTTGAAATATGCGTGAAATGCTCACAAGATTTTGTAAGATATTATTATGAATTATGCAATTAGAGAACTTATAAAATCTTTAAATTACATAAGACCGTTTAATGACGTTTTGAATGAAAATTTTATGGCATTTTCAACGCCGAAAACGAGGTTTAAATTAGGTTAAGTGTGGAATTGTTAGAACTGAAATTTTAAGTTATTTATCACCCTTTCTTAGGCGTATAAAAGTACGGCATTTTCAAGAATTAAACAAGCTGGAATCATGTTTCAAAACATCTGAATGAAAATGTCTACTTGAACTTTACATAACTCGTGTTTCTGTTTAAAATTATTTATTGCTCAGGTCAAAAACTATTGTAAAACTTAAAATTAAATTAATCTTAATGTACTCCGTCTAATTGTGGATGAAGGCAACAAGAATTATTGTAGTTAAACAAGAGTTTGAAATTTTACTAAAGGAAGAAAATTCGTGCTCGACCAACAAATTTGCCAGATGTTTTTCGTAGGAATTTTTCCTCATTTGTATCTCACAGATTTTGATGTTTATCTTTAGTATTCTTAACTTAAACGATCGAGAATGACGAAGGATTATTTGCGAATACTTAATTCGAGAATTGTTCGGATGTTTAATGGGATTTATGACGGTTGAATCGAAACATAGAGGCACATGCTACATGTATTTGATCGTGATTTGTTTCTGAAGAATTCAATGCTTTTAGAACAAAAACATTATTGTAAATGCTGAAGGATCTCCTGAGAAATAAATGTAGTTTCAAGAATTGTCTGTAAATCTCAGATTGTTTCATAGAAATGATTATCGAGTTTTTTGTGAAGTGTTTTGGTGTAGGAATTGTTTAGTCCTTCGATACATAATTATTACAATACCGACACAGCGATCATTCATTCGAGACTCGGCATGTACTGGAAATGAAGCTCACAGCCTTCGTTTGAAGTTTATAGGCAGAAATGTCATCAACGGATCCCACTTTAAACTGTAGATCTTGATACGAGCAGGACCTCTCGAAACCCTCTCTCTTTAAACTATTATTAGCCTTGATAATCCATTCCATACGCAGCTATGGATCTTAAGGTCTGAACAGCTAAAATTTATTTTTTTAAGTGAATATTTAATCAAAATTTATAAAAATAATTTTTAAAAACATCGCGATCGCATTTTTCATTTTCTCCATCAGACTAAAAGAGCGCAACAGCTTCCACCTTCCAACATTCATTCACCACTGATCGTCACGGTAGCATTCATAAGAAAAAAAATCCTTCATAATTCATAGCTCAAGTTCAATGTCTCTCTTACTCTCATTATTTTTCTCACTTCATTCCTCTCTATCTCTCCATGCACATGTATACTTTTTTTCCTCTTCATTTCACGTGCATGACATTGCAAATGTATTACCTTGAACAAGTTCACGAGTTTTTTCTTCTCATTCGCGCGTGGAGATGAAAATTATGCAATAACCATACGGCATTCCATTCATAGTAAAAGATTTATTCTCTCATTTCTCCTTTCGTCGTCTACTTCACATCATCTTCGTAGTTCATTGAGAGTTGACTTTCTTAAGTCTCCGGCTGAGCGTTACTATAGTCTGTAAAGAGAATAAAAAATAATATTTTAAACTGTCGATTTCCAGAAGCCTAAGTAGAAAAGAATGAATGAGATTATTCACCAAAGATTGACTTCCTTTCATATTTTTTTTATTCTTTATTGCAATCATTAACACATTTCATTAGAAATCAGCGTGTATCAATCTACATTGAGCAAAAAAAGTGCACTTTGCACATGAGCAACAATGTTGGAGAGAAAAATAATTATCTCAATGGTTTTATTTCTTCATTTCTCTAACATAAATATTTTTATATATTATACAAAGTCATTTTGTGCATTGTGGGTTACAAATTTATTGCGATACATGTTCATATTTGATTTATTCGTCGACCTGCACTTGGGTTATTTGAGTCAATAATTAAAAATATAGGAAACGTTGTACGGTTGGATGCTTTTATTTTTAGGCACATGGGAAGGCTTAACAGGAGAATGTTACAATACCAATTGCTCATTTGCGGTTATCATGCAGATTGTAAGAAAGAAAATTAAAGCTTTTTGGTTAATGGATAAGCTGAGCGCATTTTTTGTAATGAAAACTTTACAATCATTGTTGATTCTAAAGTTTTAAACCAACCTAATTTTCTATAAAAATCTTAGGTTCGATTCCCGGTAGATACTGATTCAAAGAAAGTCTCTTAAATATGACAATTCTCACAGCATTATGTCTGCTAGATAAAGTATGATTGTAAAACTATTTTATCCCAAAAACCAGCATCTCAAAACCTCTAATGCTTAACTCATAAGATAGAAAAATAAAACTGCAACAGAATAGAACAAGAAGAAATGAAAGTATCATACATACTTAATTAAAAAGTAATCTGCGAAAAGGCATTCACATGTCAAAATATCGAGTCACAAGTACAGCGAATAATCGCGTCCGCTGTTTTGTGCATTTCTGTGTGGTTGTGGGCTTAGCATTTCATATGGACATGAGAATTGGGCCAACTTAGTGTTCTTAATTGTTAAATTTATTTCTTGTCTTGCGCTTTAGTAAAATGAAATGAATTAAGAAAATGAGAAATAAAACCTTTTAGACATTTGGCATAATTTTCTTTTCATTCTTCTTCTTATTTTCTGACTTACTTCATCTCGTTGTTGTTATATTTATATATTTTTCTTTAATTTTTAACTATATCTTATAGAATTAATCTTGAAGAGCGAACATACTACTATTATTGTCTTATAAGACGCAACTTTAACATTTCCGCATAATGGTCAGTTTGCTATTCAAATTTGTATAAGAAAAGAAAAAATAATAATATTTAAATGAAAATGTATACATTGAGATTATTTAGCTTGAGAGAACAAACTTGTGTGTTGTTTGATGATGATCATCGTTTTTTTTTTAATTCTGAAAAAGTTGAGGCATCAACAATGGAGCTTATTGAAGAGAAAACAAATTCAGGCAGTGGAAAATGCGTCATTATAGAATTTAACAATATCATAATTGCCCTATTATGAATCTGTAGTTCGCTTTACATTCTCCTTACATATATTGCATATTTATAAATATATAATATTCATAGAGGGCAAGACATTGAAATCTTACAGATGGGCATGTTGTGAGAGAGAAAGCACACTAAATATTATGAGAATGCATTTATATGCAAAATAGAACTATTTGATTGCATAATGCTAATAATATAAGATGAAATAAATTATAGAGTATTGGTGCATATATGAGATATCGGAAGAATAGGAATAAATATCTCAAGGGATGTGCAGCTACAGTGGGAATTATATAATATGTAGTTTAGTTGATTCTATGAATTGCTGTAGGTTTGAATATCAATGACTAAAATTAAAAGGAACTGTGCCTGATTTCAAAGCATAGATGGAGCAACCTATTTTAGGACATCGAACTTAATGTTTCCTCAATGGTACTCCGGGTAGACCAATAAACCGAGCCTTGAAATTAATATCCTAGATGCCTATCACATCAAAGCCCTGCATCCTTAAGCTTTGAGTTCATTGACTCAGTCTCAAAATCCCCCTCGTTTACTATTTGCCTTAGACTCAATCTTATTACTTATTACCGTACGCGTTCTAAATTCCTTCTGCGAATTGCATATTGTTGCTTAAAAATTATTATTGCATTTATTTTTTTGATAACATTGTTTTATTCAATTTTACTTCATATTCATTGCTCTCGTTCCTCATACCAATATGTGTGCATACATACGAATTTGATAAGTATCGCATGTTGAATAGGAAAATTGCAAAAGAATTCCAAAATTATTTTTTCCTTCTATTTTTTTTTTCTTTATATTTAATTGGAATATTGCAATAAGAGCAGTTGTAATTCTTAATCTAGTGCAGCAAGAAGAAGGAAAAGAGAAGCAAATCAATCTATGTCTATCAAAAAATTGTATTTAAATGCATAAATTTTCAATATGTGTGTAGTTACATGCATATTTCTCACGAAATAATAATCAAAGAGGTATTTTAGGGAAATCGATGAGCTTTAGTTCTAGTTTGTTGATGTCACGTTAGCTGTTTCTTCATTTCAATTGAAAGTCAATCAATGTTTTAGTGCTCGCGCTAAGCATTTGCGTGCTGTTTATAATGAAATGTGGTTGAGGAAATTTGTAAAGAGATTTGTGGTTTTGCGACGCTGTTCGAGGGAAGCCATTTGTTAAGGTGATAAGTCGACTGACTGTGGTTTGGTAGTTAGAGAGGTTGATGATCTCTAATTAATGATAATTTGACATTTCCTGATATTGTAATTTGATATATTTTGGTTAAGTGATTAATCATATCAATTTCTGCAATTTTAAGTCATTAGACTTTATGTTTATACTGGAATGAAATCATGTTGTTCCTAGAAACGGTAAATATTCTGATATGCAAATAAATCAGATTCCATGAAGAAGACATAAATTTCTTTTGCTTTAATCTGTTGATTCTCACCTTAATAAATATAAGCTTGATAAGATTTTCATGCAATGATCAATATTGATAAAATAAATAGTTTACTCAAACAAGATAAATTCGTCTTAAAAGAAATACACTAGACAGAACGACAACCCATCACACAGTCCACTTCTCTTCAAGCAAACATGCTTAACAAAACGGTCTCAAAGAGTCATTGCATTTCAGAAATGGGAAAATTAATTTACTTACTGACAAAACAAATTGACGTTTGTAAATGTCCAATAAACCCAATTTGAGAATTATTCAAGCTATATACATAAAAAAAAGAAATAGTCAACTATTGGCAATGCATTTAATGCAGGCGCGCACATAATGTGGAAGAGTCTACACACATTCGATATTGGAAGACGAATAAATGTAAGAAAGATATCAGATTATTAACAATGGACAATGGATAAATATATGAACTTTATGTGCATTAATAACATGTTTGCATTTTAATTGAAAGGTTACGAGTTTACGTGAGGTATATGATCGTTAAAGGAGGTCTCTCTTCCACACACGGTCATGTTTATTATGCTTCTCATTGATTTTTTTTTTATGTGTTTTGTTTGTTAAAAGCGTTTTCATGTACCAATCTTTAATAATAATATAAATACCAATGTGAAATTAAATTTGAATAATTTTCAATTGAATTCTCAAACGACAAACGATAATTCATAAAAAAAAAGATTATTTCCATATTGTTTTCTCCACCGGCTGCTTTAAATTGTCATTTTACTTCAAATGAAAATTGTTTGATCATAAATCTTATGCGCGCATGATTTTCTAATGATTTCTTATGTTTATGGGTTTTGCTTAACATTGAAATTTATTGGTTCTTTTAATTTATGTATGTGAACTAGAAAAAAATTTACTTTGACTTTTTGGGTTCACGGTAATAAAAGCTATTCGAGTTTTATTCTTGACAGTCGTTTATAGTTCGATGTTAGGTAGATTTTATAGGGCACTGACTTTTGCATAAGCATTATTTCATTTTCACATGACCTTTCCAAAATAAATCTATCAAAATTCTTATGTCCAAAAAGGCAACTATCTCACATTTTGCCTAGAAACCGTTTTGTTCCGTCTAACGGATTTCTGCAAAAAAAAAATATCACAAAAAACCTTCAACAATCAATAACAGAAATTTCCTTGTTTGTTTTCTCGTTACCACAAATTGGTCAATAAATAGACAATAGTTTTGGAAAAACTTTAAGAACCTCAATAGAATATTAAATTGCTTGATAAGTCAAAGCATAAATCTCTGCATCAAACCACGCATTCATTCCTATTGAACAATCGATTACAAAACATTCCTAATCAAATAAAAGAGGAAAAAAACTATTATATTTCATAATAATTCCATTGCTAATTTATAATTTCATCATTTCAACTCCAATAATAGCAAGAAAAAAAATAAAAATAATAATAAGGAAGAAGAAGCTATCGTCTATTGTGTAAGAATTAGATTTAAAAATGAGAATAAAAAAAATATTATTAGAGTTCATGTTTTATTTGATTGATGTTAACTGCTTGCTGTTTAAATATGTACATTGCCTTCTACAAATCCACATTATATTCCGATTGCGATTCTTTATTCCCCATTTCACTCGTATTGCTGACTCTCTCATCTTTTCACTATGGGTCGTCTTCCTTGCATGCTTCTTATTTTATTCACAATGGCAGGGAATAAGAAGACATAACACAAAAAGTGTACGCGATAATAAAAAGATGTTTGATTAATTATTTAATTAAATCAACATACGTAGATGCCTTTATGCTGCTGAAGAATAAAAATGAGGAAAAAAGAGTATGAAAATGATTGTTTTTGCAACAAGTTCTTTTTTTTTTGCCTCATTCACGTATTTAATTCATGTTGTGAGGAGGAAATTCATTCTGTGTCTTAAAAACCATTGAAAAAAAATGAGCCGTTCTTAGTTAAATTTTTATAGCTCCTGAATATTGCGATAATATGTAAAATTATTTAGTAGAGTTCTTGCAAAAGTTTGATTATTCAAAAGATATCAAATTTTCTCCCCAAATAACTCATTTAATTCTTTCCAGCACACATTAACAGGACACTCTGGCAAGGTGATGGCTGCAAAGTTTGTCGGTGAATCACAAAAAATAGTAACAGGTTCACACGATCGAACGCTCAAAATTTGGGATCTTCGAAGTAAAGCATGTGTAGAGACGAAATTCGCTGGATCAAGTTGTAATGATCTCGTGACGACAGACTCATCGACAATAGTTAGTGGACATTTTGATAAGAAAATACGCTTTTGGGATACAAGAAGTTCTGATAGCTCAACGAATGACATTCAGCTTCAGGGAAAAGTGACATCACTTGATTTATCAAAAGGTAGAAGAAAAAGTTAAATAATTTAAGGTAATCATCATTACAACTAATTCTGTCATATTGCTCTTTTTGCTACATTAAATCTAGATTGTCACTATCTCGCGGCATGTGTACGTGATGATACAATTAAAATAATTGATTTACGCAACAATCACATACTAGCGTCATTAAGTCATGATAGTTTTAAGGTTGGATGTGATTTTGCACGCATTGCATTTAATCCAGACTGTAGTCATATTGCTGCTGGTTCTGCCGATGGTTCTCTATATATATGGAATGTTAATGGCAAATTAGTGTCAATTTTGAAGGACCACACGTGAGTATTTAGTATTTATTGTCATTCTTATCAGCTTAACCTTACAATTTTGTTCATTAATTTAGCGTCTCGATACAAGCAGTCAGCTTTCATCCGTTCAGTTCAATTCTGGCATCTGTGGATCGTGCGAAAAAGTGTACAATATGGACACACGTTTAAGTTGAGATTTTTTTACAATATTTTAGAATTTTTTATATTAAAAAATATTCGTATTTTAAAAAAAAAATATTTTTCTCTTCATTTTTTTGCATTCTCATCTTAATGATGAGTAATGACGACAACAGTGTATATGAGAAAGGAACGTAAATGTTGTTATTTTGTTCGATTCGTGTAACGCGAAACTGCTTAATTGATTGTTTACAAGGTAATTGTTTAATAACATCACGATGAAAATAAAATTGAAAAAATTGTAAAGAACTTATAAATAAAATGAGAAAAAAATGAAGTATGGTATTTTAATTGTTTGCAGATCAAGGGGGAGGCATTGAAAGGAAGCTTGTGAGTTCCGAGTCTCTTTTGTTCCTGTACATTTTATTATATATTAAATGGGTGTAGTCAAGGGAGATGATATGAGACCTCAGCCAATCCAATCTGATGAGCATGAGAACAAATTTAAATTCTGACACCTCCCCCCCCCCCCCCCCACTAAACGTTCTTTAGTTACATTGAATACCCTCAAATTGCTTTCAAAAAGAAGAAATATTCCACAAAATTTCTTAATTGTAGTTCCGAAAATTCACAGTGTCTGATTTAAAAATGGTCACAGGAAGTGCCTCTGGGATTCATTTAACAACAGTTAATTGAAATCGATCAATATCAAGTTCATATTCCCATAAGACTACTCATTCAGTAAAGATTCCATTCAATTCAGCATCCATATTCACATTCCCTTCCAAAAAAAAACATCACATAAAAGAAAAATCATTAAAATTAATTAACAAATTTTGAACAGGAAAAAAAAAGGTAAGAAATGAAAAATGAAAGCATCTCATCGAGAGATATTGTCGCTCATTAGCACACTGACTTAATGATACAAATTATGCAAATAAATTATTTTTAATTCAAAAACGAACCGGCTACTGTCGCGGTTTAATTTTTTTTTCAGTCACTTACTCGATTTCTTCTTCTTTCTTTATGCTGCTTCATTAATAATGTCGAATATTGTCGAACAATTAAGGTTAATTGAATGTTTTTTTGTTGTTCAGTTTCTTCTGTTTTTGTGCGTTACGCACGTTTTATAGAAAATTTCTCGAAAATTATCAGTTAAGTTCCAATATCATCGGCTGCAATGCTTCTTCCATTTTTTTCTATTCAGCTTAAAAAAATTTTAATGAGAAATTGAAAATTTCTTCTTTTGACTTGAAAATGTGGGGAAAAAATCGGAAATATATTAGCTTAAAAAAGACCAATTAAGCAAGCATGCTTGTGCCAAAAATGGGAAACGATTTTAATCTTGGCAATTTCCACAAATAAATTCTGAACATTCTTGATGAAAATTTATTTCGCATGTTGAATAAATTGAGGAATGTGTGTGAATTTTTTTTTTGAAGAACTGCTAGTTGGTGCTTAAAAGACTAAATTTTATCATGGCATGGAAAGGGGGTCGTTCGCATAAAACGTCGCGTTCTAAAAGACAATTTACGTCATGTTCCATGACTCTGAACTGCACAACTAGCATCCTGCAAATTGTTTCCTTGGCAATCCTAAATATACTTGTACCAGCGAATCATAATTGTCAGTTACAGAATATCGAAAAGAACCCAAAAAAGTTCCAAGAACTTTCCATTGTGTTCATATAGCCGAAAAGTTATGCTTAAACATCTTCACAGCTTCATTTATTTCCATTCTGCATATTCTACATTCCATTAAGTGTTTTTTTGGCACAATTAGATTGTCTTTATATTGTGGCTGTTGAGCCTCTTGTCCATTTAGAACCGGAAAGAGTTCATTTTACAGTAAGAATTAAAAAAATATTTTGATCATTTCATTGTCTTTGCATTTCAATTAATTTTTATTTTGTTTCTGGCTCGTTTCGTTCATGCCTGTGCTCGAGCTTTACGAGATTATAAACGATTGCGGTAATTCTTGAGATTTTAATTGTTTTTTGGTCTCTGGAATAGTCTGAAGAAGATAAAAGAAAGTACGATAGAAAGACACATTAGAAACATAAATGGACATGATCATCTAAACTAAAACAATTTCTTTGCTCATCTTTAAATGCCTTTTATGCAACTTTTCCCACACAAATGATTTAAATTCAAATTAATTCATTGCGCGACGCTTAAACCGATGAAATTTTTCTCATTGAGCTGATTCTTTATGTGCTGATGTTCTGCTGCTGATTTTTGATGGCTGGCTAAATATTCTACTATTTAGCCAGAACTTTTGCTTCTGTTTTGTGCTGTTTAACACCAACTGACATTCTCCTGCATTTTCATTCCTCATTCATTCTCAATGAGCTTATCAAGTTGACGATAATTATCTCATTGGAATCTTCATAGCTGCTTGTTCCATTCATTACATTAATTCACAAATTTACATCACTTTTAAGTGCCACTAGAGATTCCAAACTTCTTCATTCTCAATGAGATACTTTAAAAGATTGAAAATCTATTAAAATATTTTCTGTGCCTTTTTTTTTCATTTACTGTAAAATTACAAAACTGCATTTAAATCATTCTGAAAATGTTTCGGGAAGCGCATGGGAAGATTAGAAGCCTAAATTCTGTACAATATTTATCAAATCTTATTACCTTATTTACTGACTACATTTATGTCTAAATAACCGTTAATAAATTCCTCTTCTATGTGTACACAAACTGATGAGATTAAATCACCGACAAATGACTTGGATGACTTTAAATCAGCTCTTGTTGAGCTTCTCACCTTGTTTTATTTCGTTTTGATTTATTTATTTTTTGTGAAGTTTAATTTTATTGCATAATAAACTGAAAAAGAATGAATGGATTGAGTGACGTACTGTGAATGTAAAGGTTTCAATAAATAAAGATGTAACTTCACAAAATGTGATAATTTCTTGTTGATCTGAATTTCTTAAAAATCTTAAGTCTCGTGGTCGAAAAAGCTGCATTCAATAAAATCAAATAAATACCTTCCGCTCAATAAAGGCTCAAAAAGTGGAACGGAATCGCAAGATAATAAAGAATAGGAACCACATAATTATGACCAATAAATTGCATCATCGAACAAAAGTTGAACTGTTATTTTGGGAATTCAAATGTCATCTTCGAATCTCAAAATAGCTTCAATTGAAATCTGAAGATAATCTTTCTATTGACAAGATTAATATATCGATGAAAAATAAGAAGAAATTGTGAAAGAAGTAAGCAGAAGAAATTAAATATTGACTTAAAAATATTTTTAATCGCCAATTTCTTCCTTCTTATTTCAATTAAATCATTTGTCGTTCAACTACCGTTCGATGAAAAAAAAAATGTGTTAAAAAATATAATTAAGAAGAATCTAAGCAGCATGCATGAATGTGTCTATCGCCATGTACGTAAGTGACTTAACAAGCAAACGTAACACAATCATGGTCATTAATCCATGTTTTTGGTAATAAATTTTAACGACACTCACGATTCTGCCTTTTTTTCTTCAATCTCTTACTTCAAATATCTTTCTTGTTAGTACGGTCTTAATAGTTGAATAAGAAGATTCGTAAAAGACGCGTAAAATCGGCATAGAAATGATCTAAAGCAGGCAGAAAAACTGTCGATGGAAGAAGAAAATTTCACACACAAAAAAATAATAAAAACGTTTTTTTTTCGGAAGTTTTCTTCATTCTTATTCAATTTAACACCGCTTTTGGCATTAACCTGTTTCATAATCAGAAACCGATTATATATTTATTGTTGGTGAATTTTTCGCAGTAGTCACGATCAATTAAAAGAAAACTGTTGCGAAGCGTGATGTGTGGAAGTAGATGTATGAATTGGATGGTAGAACTTGACTTGACTGACCCATATTTTATTTCTCATCTCTCGCTTTGTAGACGAGCAATGATTTCGAATTTATTATATATATTTTAAAGACATACAGTACAGCATAGACTATGAAATCGCATTTAACATAAAATATTTTTGATTTATCGTTTTGTGATTTTTTTTTTGTTCTGCTTTTTGCTTACTACTTCTTTTAAAAATGGCATAAGTGCGATTCGTTTTATTTTTTTCTATGAATTCATGTATGTCAGATATGATGAAATAATGATAATTTACTTGTCTACCTACTCTCGTGTCTTCTAAACTGTTGGATTTGAAAACTTTTTTTTTGGTTTTGTAAAAGATTTTTTTTCAGTAATTTTTAAGGTTAATTGCTGTTAATTGGCAGTTGGGAAGACAACATGATGGGAAATTCTCAAGAGTTACATATCAAAGTTTTGAAGAAAAATCGAACGGAAGTAAGTCGCAATGCAACTTATTCCTCGAGGCTTCAAAACTTATTCATCTTGGTTGCTTGATTCTCTTTGAATAATCTCCAAACATTAACTTTATAAAGCTAGAATAGTGCTGGAATCTTAAGTCATGAGAACTATAAATATAAAATATCTTCAAGCTTCAACAATGATCTAGTGGGAATCGAACCAACGTTCTCTCAATTTCTTTTAAAGTTATCCGTTCTGTTGCTTTACCACTCTTGCCATAGAGTCATAGTTTTCGCACTAGCAGATTCGCAAATAAAGAGCTTTATCAGAGGTGTTGCCACGAAAAATTTCTAGGGGGGTCCAAAAATTTTGTACGTTTCCATACGCTTAGTTTTGTACTTTTTATTGATTCTAATGATACTCTAATGATTAAATTATAAATTTGAGTTCCGGAAAATCTTCTTAAAAATAATTATGTTTCAAAACAAATTTCTATACAAAAAATTATTCGAGGGGGGTCCGGACCCCCCTGGCTACACACCTGGGCTCGATCCCCTAGATCTCCTTTTGTTAATGCTCCATAGTAGAAATACAGATACCTTTCTTTATTAAATTAATTATTTATGGTCAATATATTTACTTTAATGACGCTTGAATCAGGCTTTATCGATGGTAACTGCTTAAAAATTACTAATGCCAAGTAAGGAATCAAATTGTCGAGCCTTGTCCATCCTTTCATGGTTCCTTAGGCTGCGTATGTAATATTTTTTCGTCATCTACAAACTTAGACTTAAAGACTTAATTATTTTAAACTTCTAAAGGACACCAAACAACATGTTTAGCTGAACAGAACCTGTTAATTATGATTTGTCGGAAAAATCCCGTTCAAAAGCCAGCCTGCATAAAATTTGAGTGTCAAGGCAACTTTATAAAATGCTCCAATTTCATGCATGCAAAAATCAGTTTTAAATTCTTGTGAGAAATAAAGAAGAAAGTAAGACTTGACATACAAGCAGTAAGTAAGGTGATAAATGAATGATTTGTTGCCATCTTTTGTC